AGTACTGTGTCATAAATTTTTCAATCCCATTGAATACATTATTATACTTGCCAACTCAAGGACTAAGCACTGAATCTTAATGAAAATTAAGTTTCACTTTACAATAGAGAGAAACATGTAAACAGCAATCAAGATGTACACTATGAGGTACTGTGGTCAACAAACAATCCCTTTATATAGTTAGTTAGAGTACAGGATTCATCAAAATCCCCCAAACATTTGAATGTGGTCTCAGCTCACCGCTTTGCAACTCTTTTCCTCACTGCTGCACCATTGTCGATTCCCGCTTGTGGACTCAGTCACTCATAATTGGACGCATGCTCTGACTCTCATTCCAACACAACAGGGCACTCAGTAGCGTTTTTTATTTAAGGATTTGACATTGATATGGCAATTTAAGGAAGCAGTAGCATTTTTTATTTCCTTTTTCCTTCCGGGGATTATATATAAGAAAAAAAAAGTACTAATAAAATTCTAAACAAACCGAATACGTAGATTAAAACAGAACATTGGAAATATTAACTACTTACAGTTACAGCCAAAAGGCGCAAACATTTGTTCAATGGATCTCAACTCGGGGAATATGTGCAATCTTGGGCCACTCTGCGCCACTTCCATTGGTGCATCTCTTTGCTAAAAGAGGACAGCTGTTGATCCATAGATAATTTAAATTGGTGAGGTGTCGTATTGCTTCTGCAGAGGGCAATTGTCTGAGGTTAGAGCAATCAGCAATCCCCAATTGTCCAAGATTCCGAAGGCTACCCATCCACTCTGGAAGAACTTCCAACCCCTCAAACTTCCATATCTCTAACGTCCTCAAGGTAGAGAGATGCTGAATTTGGTCTGGGAGAGACGTGATTTTTGGCCATCCACACAATTCAAGACGCTCCAGAGAGATAAGACGCTGCATTGTAGAATCCTTGGCATCATCGCTGGCAACATTGATGATGGAGTCTGGCCACGGGAAATGATCAAGGTCATCAGAGAAGCCACCGAGTACCAACGATCTGAGGTTGGCTAGATGGTGTAGACCCTTTGCCCAGCAACCAGGGTCACGAGAACGGATCCTCAACTCCTCGAGCGATGTGAACTTCTCAAGATTATTACTCAATGAAGGATTCATCTTATCACATTCTAAGATGGTTAATTCACTTAGGGATTGGGGGTTTTTCATATCTAGAGAAGCATCTAATAAAGCAGGGCAGTCACTTAAGATTAAGGATTCGAGAGATGTAAGGCTATTCAAATTACTTAGGCAAGCCAAACTTCCGCATCCCCATATCTTTAACTTCGCAAGAGATGTCAAGCTCTTCAAGCATAAGGATTCAAGAGCAGGGCAGTCATCTAAATATAAGGATTCGAGAGATGTAAGGCTATTCAAATTACTTAGGCAAGCTAAACTTCCGCATCTCTGTATGCTCAACTGCACAAGAGATGTCAAGTTCTCCATATCTGGTAAAGCAGCCAACTTGGGGACCCTACAGATTCTCAAGTACCGGAGATTAGGGAATACCTTAATTGATGAAGAAGAATCCGAGGGAACCATTGCATCTGACCATTCCCCTAGACTTCCCATGTCCTCCAAAACAAAACGCGACAGTTTAGGAAACAGAGTGATTGGTTTCGCCTCTCTGCTACTGCTGCTACAAGAAGCGCTGGTCCTTGCATTAATATCGAGATGTGTAAGGAGACCATAGAATTCAGCTCCAATGCGCTTCACATTGTGTAAGGAGGTCATCTCTAAGGACTCGAGACAAGGCAAGTCCCCTAGTGGTGGTACTTGTTCACACTTACCCAATCCTCTCAACTCGATGTCTACCAGATTCCGAAGGAGCACCATCAAGTGATCCTTTGCCACCATCCACGACGGATACCTTGAACCTTCGAAACCATTAATGGCTAAACTTTTCAAGCCTGGGTGAGGTTGGAGACCTTCCATGACACTGTTGATATTGTTGTCGTCGCAATCTTCTTTCGTGCCATTCCATGAAAGTCTTAAACCTTGAATGCTTGATTTTTTGGACAACTTTGCTTTTGCTGCTGATTCAAAGCTGCTTACATTTTCGAGTCCAAATATTTCTAACTCGCCTCCGAGGTTGCGCAAGTGTTCCAACTCCTCAAGTTGACATCCCTTGTCTTGGCTTACCACGAAGTGGGGCAACGTCCGAAGATTAGCCAACTGCCCAATTCCCGGGAATAAACATCGGTCCAAATGAATCTCCAAAAACTCAAGATGCCTCAAGTTAATTAAATTGCTGAACTTCTTAGGTATCTCTTCCAAGTAAAGTACTTTCAAGGTCATCAAATTGTAGAGCTTTGTGATCGAATCTGGCAGAGCGGTGATCCCAGTTCGCCTGATATCAAGATGTCTTAAATGTTTCATATTACCCACTGAATTCGGGAGATGAGTAACATGCCAGCCGTCTACTTTTAATACAGAAAGGTATCTAGACCTTTCCAAGATATCTTTGAACATAATACCATCACCCCCAAGATAATAAAGCATTTGCAAATTTGGAGGAATCCCTTCGATATTCTTTAACACCTTCCTTTGACTCCCAATGATGGTCAAATGCATAACTTCATCATGATGACTGACTTCCATGTCATCCTCTGTATTGAAGAAACGATTATTTGACACTTGCAGTGAAAGATCATGCACAAGGTCGTGCATCCGGCAGAACACGATTTCATTAAAGAAATTCTTATAACCAGCTTGCAACAAAGAACTCCGAAGCAATACGTTGAAATACTCACTGCCTATATCCTCCATTTGCAAATGACCTCCTCCTCCCTTGGCATCATTAATCAATCCCTGGGCCATCCAAATCTGTATCAAGCTTTGTTTTTCCATCTCAGCATCCTTCGGGAAAATGGAACAACTTGCAAAGCATTGTTTCACTGACCATGAAGGTAAGTTCTCGTAACTCAGCTTCAGGACAGAAATGACTCCATTTGCAATATTGGTCGACTCGTTCCATATTTCACTCTTCTCGATCGTCAACCATTCCGAGGCATTCTTTTTGGAATACAACAAACCCCCAATCACTTTGATCGCTAATGGCACGCCGCCGCACCTTTTCAGTATCCTTCTGCCAATGTCCACCAGATCTTGAGTCTTTTTTGCACCACCGTCTGCAAAAGCTAGTTTTTCAAACAACATCCAGCTATGATCATCTGAGAGAATGTCTAGATGATGCAAATCAGATGTTTGCATTGATGAGGCTACCTCATCGCTACGTGTGGTAGCCAATATTTTGCTTCCTGGAGCACCTCCTATTTCGAGCAAACAGCTCCTCATGCCATCCCATTTCTCTCGATTGTCATTCCAATTATCATCGAGCACAAGCAAGTAACTTTTTCCATTCAGATTTTCTTGAAGCCTCGTCACCAATGCTTCCCTATTTGTCGTCTCAACATTCTTTTCCCCGAGGGATTGAAGCATCTCATTCAGCAGCCTCTCAACTTTAAAATCATCAGAGACGCAAACCCATATTTTTTTATCAAAATGCTTTGTTACATTCTCATTTTTTAGCACCAGCTGTGCAAGGGTTGTTTTACCCTGGCCACCCATCCCAACTATTGAGATGACGGGCAATTTCTTCTTATGGTCTGAGCTAATTAACATGCTTACAACTCGAGATACCTCAACTTCCCTTCCCACCATTTCTGACTCGTCCACAAAAGGAACAGTCAACCGATCCTCTTTGTGATCAGCAGATGCCATGGTTAGCTGAACTGGATGAATCCCTATTTGATTTGCTTCTCTGTAAGCTTCCTCTAGAGATGCGCTAACATTCTTGATCTTGTTAGCCATCTCTAGACGAAAGGAAATAGGATTTGAGGAAGAAAAGAAGTTGCGTACCTTGTCGCACTTCCGATTCTCAACCTTCTGCCGCAGAACTTCATATCCGAAGTCATCCAACACGATCTCAGCATCACGTGCTATGGACTGGAGCCTTTTGAGCCAGAGCTGCACCGCTTTGCTTGTTGATTGCTTGCATTTAGCATCAGAAATCAGAGCTTCCATCATCTCTACTTTCTTGGAGAGCTTCTGAAGGTCTTTTTTTACACCCCATGCCCGGCTGATCTCGTCGGCAGCAAGTGGAAGTATCTTATTCAAGATCACACTAACACAACTGAGTGCAGCTTCAGCCATCTTCAAGGGAAACTCTTTAACAGATGAAGGTGAAGTGCTTTGGTTGAAGTTGAATAGTTGAACTATATTTTTTGCAGCCAGAGATAACTTTGCAAATGTGTTAAAGAAGGGATGTGTATAAGATTCCCCGAGAAAGGCTGTGAAAACTTTGCCGAACATTGAAATTTCAACCTCTAGATGCTCATAATGGTCAATAATTATTATTAAGTGTGCCCAGACCTGGGCTCCAGTTGTCTATGCAAATGCCTAACCATACGTCCAAATTTTGGTCTCCACCAGCACGAGCTCATAAAGAAACTACTGATTGAATATTGCAAATATGATATACACAATACACGATGCATAATTCAAGGACTTCATTCATTTAATCCAAGAGAAGTTTACATAATGACCGAATTTGTTGTATCGAGATGTGACTTTTCTACAGATATTTTAGCACTAAAATAAAATAAATTAGTAATTGAATAAGTCTATTTCTTAGAGTTGTATCACATTTTTTGCTTTTGACTAGTTCAAATTTGTTTGAGTTCTAAATGTCATGTTGAGATTTGTTAGGAGAGGTTTGAATAGTATTGTTTTGAGGTTTGTCGCGAAAAATCTGTGTAGACTTATTAATTACACTTTTGATTAATAATAGAGAGTTATTTAATGAGAAATCTAAAATCATTTTTCAACTCTCAATACAAATCTCAGTAAACTATTTTTTGGCAGCACTAAATTTTGTTTCAGTAGAAGTAAGCTCTAAATTCTAACATATTGGCTGGTAGTACAAAATATAGATGTTCCAATTTCTCTTCAGCACATACAAATATTATCACATACAAGAAGCTAGTGTTGAATATAGGACCAGGAGTTTGCTTCAATCCAATTGAATGCAATCGGGCTCAACAAACCATCAGGAACGCCAAGAGAGCTGACCAAGAAAAGTGCATATACAAAGGGTATCATATACAAAGGGTATTTTCTCTAATTTAAAGACATAACAACACTCTCTGCTCCCCATGTTTTTCATGTACAAAGCCTGGAAATTTATCAGCAATTGGTATCATTAGTTGCTTCTACTTGTCCAAACAATCCCTAGAAAATTTATCAGCAATGGGTATCATTAGCTGCTTCTAACTTCTGGTCCTGCAAGATCTATACCAAAGAGTCGGATAACAGGGAAGTCTGTAGCCCACGATGAAAGCCACCATTACAACTAAGTTACTCTATTTTTGTGACTCTTCTATGCCTAGATTTCTCAAGAATGCATCACCATACATCAAACATCCTACTTCAACCCTTCTACACATTTCCCTCGGCCTTTGTATCCTCCAAACTCGTTTAGTAGACGACGTTCAAGAGGATACTTCATCAAGCTCAAATAGTGCATGAAGAGCCAATACTTGGGTATTTCTTTGTTAGATATGAATTACCCCGAGAAAACAAGAATGCACCCATGATGCCTGCAATCAAAGACATTCCTGATATGAAATTCGGTACCAGAGCACTGAAGCAGCTGCAAAAGAATTTGCCATTGAGAGAACCATCCAAGCCACCAGACAGAAATAAAGGAATCCATCGATTTTGTGTCTGAGTCCAACTAGCCAGTGAAGTGGAGTAGTAAAGAGGAGATAGTTGCAAAAGGAAGGCAACAAACACTAGGGTGTTTGCTATAACATATGAAGATATTCTGTAAGATCCTCTTGAGGTCTCTCTCGTCAAAATTATCCTCTCTTGCAAGAATATTGGGAGAGCTCCTGTAGTAAATGACAACAAGAAGGTCAGGATAAACCCCATGAATCCAATCTAGTTTGAACACCTTGAGGCAGAAATATTTTGCTATGTACTTGGATTTGATTAGTTGCCAACCATCTGAGTTGACATTATTCAACTTGATTCACCAACTGGCAAATCAACACTGTATAAACAGGCTCAGAGGCTTGAGATGCATTCCAATTTCCACGTGCATGGGGATAGCATGCAACAAATTCATTTGGATGATATAATACATAAGGTCATCAGTTTGACAATATTAACTTCAAAACACCTACTTCCAAATAAATACGCAGAAGACAACAGAAATGATATGTTTCTTGTTTATTTAGACGTTCAGAATGCCAGTGCATTATTGAATAAAAAAAAAAAATTTTTGTTGGGTCAATCACTAATCTAACCTATATTAAGGGATATTTTCAATTGATATTGGCAAATGAAATCGTCAGAGCACACATTTTAGTTCTACAGCAAACCTCGTGTGCAATGACAACTATAGCTTTTGCCACTCAAAAATTGATCATTTTTAAAAGGATAAAAGTGTTATTTCATGAATATTTTGCAGTGGCATTATCACAAGTCTAAGTGTATTAGGCTGGTAATTGTGAGACTCCTAATTGACTCTCAAAACATGCTCTTTTCCTTTCTCGGTATAAGAGGATTGTAGTTTCTTTGAAAAAAAAAATACAAATAAAAACGCAAACTTTTATAGATTAGACATGAAAAAGTTCTAATGACGACATTTCACTAACTCGTATAATTAATTAAGTTAAACAATGCAACCAAAAATAGTTAAATTGATCAAATATATGTTTACACCAAGTTTTGGCATTTGTTTTCAAGCTTTTCTTTTTTTATTTTTATTTTTTTTATATAATGAATTTTAAACTCTGCGAATTTTTCAATTGAGCTGACCTCTTGAATCTTGATACAACATTTTCGGCGGGACTTCTTGTCCAGCAAAGATGTGGCTGATGGAGTTGACTTGTGCATCTTACCCATCACTTTTTGAGGTTCAAAAATCTACTTTGTTCCACAAGCGTCAGCTCTCAACTTGTCAATTTTGGCTCATACAAGTTCATTTCTGGACTCGACCTCAATTTGTAAGAATGAATATTTTAGAAATGGTTCAGAAATTTCTTCTCTTCAATTAATCAAATATTGGCTTCTCCCCTTTGTCATCAGTCATACAATCTAGACATAAATTTTGCATAGTTGGAGAACTTTTTTTAGTACAGTAAATTTTCTATTGAAGCAGGATAGTTGAAACTGCAAGCTCCACTTGAAGATGTTTGAAAATGATATGTTAACAATTTTGGCATTGAAATTTGCTTACAGTTATAACTTCTGGAAATGAATACATCAATCTTTTGCCCATCAAGCATTTAGTTTCACAACTTTGCAAACCACAGTACAGCAGCACCTAAAAAACTGGGCATTATTGAACTAGATTGATTAATAACTAACACAGATAAATACATTACATAGCAATTCACAAAAATAGTCACCGAAAGACGAAGCATTAATCTCAAAAAATTCACCATTCGACGATACAATCTAAATAAATGGCGCCTGCATTGAAGTAATTTCAACAATTCAAATCTAAAAAAACAAAACTTAACCTCAGTTGAAGAAAAGCATTTTTTTTACACAAAAAATGACTAAACCCACAATTTATATACATATATATATATATATATATATGTAAGCTAAACCCATAAAATATGCTATCAAGCAGATTAAAAAAAAAAAAATTGACCCCAATTCGTTACCTGTAATCGAACCAACCAAGTTCATAACTTTATACTACAAACAGCACAAAATCACTAATTCTTCAAAACCCTTTTCAGTAAGTAACCCAAAAATGGAAACTTTATACTCTTTTCAGCAAAAATTAAGGAAAAAAGGGACTGGCGAATAGAGAGAGGGAGTACCAAATAGACGTAGCATTCTGAGACATGGAAGAGAATCAGCTCAATAGCTTCTTCAATTTCTTCTTTTTCATCTGTTTTCTTTTCTTTCTCCATTGATGTGATTGCTGTTCAAAAAGGGATTTCTCAGGGGAATGAAAAATTAATGCAATCAAAAAGTGCGTTCTTTTTTTTACCCCTGTAATTTAACTGCTCTGACGTTCTTGATTGTTTCGCTTCCAATCTGGAATTGGCAAAATGTGTCCGGGGAAAATGAATTTTAGAATAGGGGTAGGCTGGGAATTTGGAAAACAAGAAGGTGGGTGACTAATATTAAAAATTTTATTAGAAATAGGATACCGGAGTTGATGCGACTATCTAATTCTGATCGAGTAGTATACTTCGGTTTGATTATGATTATCATGGACCGTACGTTTGAAGCATTCTGTAGGCTTTCAGCCGTCGGATCTTTGACTATCGAAGTCAACCAGTTGTTGTTCATGAGTTGGTATGGTGGTTTGCTTGATTTCTCAGCAAAGGAGATCCAGTAAAGTCCTTATGATTATCTGAATTTAGGTGAGATTAGATGCAGGGAAAGAAAAAAGAAAAGAAAAGAAATCAGATTTATGTGTTTTTTTACTCAAAAAACAAAGAGTTGAAATTTTCCCATCATACATGCATAGTCATCAATATAGAAAGAAGTTTGAGGGTGTTTATATGAAGAAAATTGAGGTTGAAACCTGGAAGTCTCATCCACTCTTTTAACTTACAAGAAAGTCAAGGTATTATTCCAAAGTTGGTAGAGAATATCCGGATATTTGCCATCTCTTCTGCAATAACACAGCCATTTGTTCACCTAGCAAAGCAACTTACTAGTACTATATGTTGTTATTTGTATCGAAGGAAAAAAAAAATAAAGATGATGTCTCTTCAATTGGTACTTCAAAGGTTATGAATCAGTAGATCAAGATGAAAATTATCGAACACAAACATGGTATTAGAGGTTCCTGCTATCAACATATGTGGTGTATACTGTATAGTTTGGACTGTGTCATATAGTTTCAGCTTGAATAGAAATACAGAGCCTAGATTTTGCTTAGCAGTCTTTTTGCTTGTAATGACTATTGGCAATATGATCAGTTGATAATTTGCTGCTTCTTCAGAGCTGGAGAAGTTCAAGAAAACATTGGCAGCTAAGTATAATCGGTTGATGAGTGAAAATGTACAAAAATCACCTTACAGCTTCCTGCTATCAACTTGCAATGAAGAGCATAAATTAGCTTAATCAAAAGGTTAGATTCTCACGGACCAGAGGCTGCATTGGAACAACAGTTGCTCCATGCTAACTGTTTTCAGCACAACTCAACCAAGACAGTGATTTTGGTGACTTTTCGTGCTTGTTTGTAACAAGAAATGGATCCACTTCCTTCTGACACGATTTCAAAAGTTCAAATTCCTATATAGCCTATTAATTTACAGACAAATTTCCTTACGAGCACAGCTGAGAAGCTGACTTAGTACGCTGCCAAAAAATGATTCCTCAACGTGAACATTTAGTACATGAACTCTGTAGATGTGAACTCCAATTGGTAACGCTAATGATGAGCCAGATTGAGGGTGATGCTAGTAAGGCACAGTTGCAGTCACTGTCCTGTGCCTTGGATCCGTGAGAACTGTATTTACATTGATAAAGCCTGCTTCTCTCATTACTCTTTCAAGATCTGTCAAATAATACTCATCCAGGAATGGTTCAGTACTCTTCATTAGCATAAATAGCACCGGTGATAATTCCTGAAACATGTACAGGGAGAATATAGTTCAGCAGGTTGGCTAGGAAAACCACATTATACCAGTCATCTTGAGAATTTTTGAAGAGCAGGAGGTGGTTGGGAACGGAAACATCTATGAACTAATGCTTTCATGGTCTATAATAAAGGCTTTGAGCTGCTAAGTGATATGAATCCAAGATTTTGCTCTGTATTACATCTGTATTGCATATATTACAATGTTGTTTCCTATTGCAACGTGTGCAGCAATTTTGAACATGTAGTGCTAGCTATTAGTTTGCCCCATCACGCAAACTGTAGGCAGGGAAAAGGAATAGGAGAAGAAAACTTGCCTGAAGAATCTTTGATTTTGGCTGCCAAAAGCAAACAAGAGTTTATCAGATTGAAATGATCCCTTGGTAAATATACAATTCAAAACCTCAGGAGTTGAATTATTTACCGAGTTGTCTGTGATTGCAAAAGTTCCTCCAGGTCGAAGCAGTCGAAATGCTTCTCTCACCATATTGTTTATTGCTCTTTCAGGGCATTCATGGAACTGTAACAGCTCAAATGATTGAGACTCTGAATCATAGCATTATTATTTCAAGAGTTACCGGAAAACAGAGCATGGCATGCACTTGAAAAATCTAAAGGTGCAACCATGGGCAATAGTGCTACAGCAGCTGCCGAGGCAAAACTTGTGGAGGCTTATACACCAAAGAATGTTTCTGTCAATTATCATGCAACATGCTTCTTGCGTGAAAATTGAGCAAGTGAAGATGCTACTCTTCAATTGGTAATTTATCCATGACATTGTAAGGTTGCATGGATTACAGCTCAAACTTCTAAAAGTAGAAAGAGCCACAACATGTTATAAAAGAGTTTTCTCCTAAAATGTTCAGTTTTAGGAAGAACAACATCACTCTCTGATGATGATTTAGTACTCATTCCAACAGAAAATCTATGACATGCTTGCATTCTGTCAGGAATTTTTGACATACCACATAAGCAACAGAAAGAATGTCAAATGATTTGGAAGGCAAGCCTGTACTTTCACCATTAGCATGGATCCAACAGACAGGATTCATTCTTGGGCTGCTTTTCTTTTCTTTATATTGAGCAACAGCAAGAAAATATGGTGACAGGTCCAGGCCCTGCAGAAAATGCAGCAATAAGATTTTAGAGCACTGGAAAGTGTACCAGAGCGTAGATTTACTTCACCTGAAGTACTGTTTGAAGTCCAATTGCAAAATCTTTTAGCCAGATCTCTTTATTTTGAGACTTGCTCTACTTTTCAACCTTTATTTCTTGTAACAGACTGAGTAAATAAAATAGGTACCATGAAGAGGTTACTTAAGTAGATGCTGCATTGATTTTGTAGGTTACTATTGCATATTAGATCATCTCACTTGTGGAGTGGAGAAACTGGCTAGAATACTTACAGTCACTCTAGCATTGGGAAATTTATCAGCAAGGCACCTTGTGCTGACACCAACTGAACATCCGATATCAAGAATTTCTCTGACAATATTGTCTTCTGAATATTTCCGATGGTGTTCTTCAATTGCATTCAGCCAATTTCCACGAACTATTTGATTAGCTTCATCCAATGAAGAAGCATATGGTATTGCCCGTCTCATCATTGACATAGTTGCAGCCTCTGCCTCAGCCGCAGCCTGTTGGAGAATCTCATTATGGAATGTATCAAAATCTCTATGCTTTACCTCGACACTAGTGAGTACTCCACTTACTGCTTCCGCATTACTACTGAAGCAACTGGTAACATAAAATCAATGATACATATTTTAGTAATAAATTCGAGCACATTAAATCAACCATTATGCACATTATCAGCCAGGAAAGATTGCCCTCATCATATGCATGGAAGGGATTGAGATAATCTGCATGGGAACCGCAAGTATGAAACAAAATCAGTACCCAAATTAGTACACATAGGAAATGCCGATTTATTTTCTTTTTTTTTTTCTGAGCTCTAGATTCAAGGTCACTTCCCTAATCCAATTCAAACTGGTTCGTGTAATTCTTATTATATTTGGCGTAGTTTGTATTGTTTGATGTAATTATCAACTTTTGTATGAATTGACAAATTCGGATTTACATTCAAACTGTAATTGTATGAATTTACAACAAAAGTTACAAAAATTAAAAGAATCGATTTGAATTGAATAGAAATCAACTTGCGAGGTTCTTGATCCAAAATTAGGAAGTTGCCTATCATTTGTAATGACTTGATTCTTTTGTTAAAATGTACACACTCCTAACTTCCTTAGGAGGGAAAAAAAAGAAAGAAACGTTTCACCCTCTTATGTTTCCTTAGAAACGTTTGGAAATGATTTTTTTTAATGGTGTTTCCCATTGAAAAATTAACTGTCAATATACAAAAGTTAGGCATATCTAAAGTCAACACTATGTATCAGGAATTTAGTGAGAAAAATCATGCTAGGCCTAAAAAATAGTAAGCTTTAGGTACTGTAACGCCCTAGCCTCAAGAGCTAACCCAAGGAACTTTTGAGTTGAAATCACAAATTTAAAATGATTAATTTAAATCCTGGCCAAAGAACTTTTGAGCTAAAACTATGGATTCAAAATGATTAACTCAAGTTATTAAGTAGTCCATGAACCTAGAAATAATATATTGGCCTAGACTCAACCCACGCAAAAACTATGCAAAATCTGTTTTGATGCCATTTGTATTGGATCCACGAGCATTCAAACTGAAATCACGGGTTCAAAACAATTAAACCAAATTGCTAAATAACCCATGGGTCTAGAGCCATGTATCAATCCAATCCTTTGCTTTCTTTTTGATGTTGGATGGGTCCTCACAGTTAAGACAGATAAGTGTTTTTCAGAAAAATAAAATACTATGATTAGTTGCACAACCTTAGTTAGAACTGAACATACTAGCCAGTTTCGCTGGCATTCATATTTGATAAGCTAATTTCTTTCAAGAAATATGTCACACCACTTTCCTACTTTTCTTCCCTAGTGATTAATTAGAGTTTGCTGCATCAGTTTCAAGAAGAAACAAGTTATCTTTGCAGCCCATAAATGACAAATCTGTCTTCATACTTTTCTTCCATACGTGCCGGTTTTTGTCTAATTTTATAAGATGTTACTCACTTTAAAAAGAAAGTAACTATAGAATAAATTTTTGTGAATCCTACACATGAAATTAAAAATGATGTATCTATAGTGATTTGAACCTTACATATTTTTTTTATGCAAATCTTAACCGTTAACTGTTGGTTATAAAAGATGATAAGCCCACATCAAACCTTGGCTCAACCAACTTTATATTTGTCTCTATGAGCTAATTTTTTTCTTTTGAAAGATATGGGCTAATTTTTATGACGTATGAAAGAAAAATATATATGAATATTTTTTGGTTGATCAAAAAGTACAATATGCCCACGTCACCTTAACCATAATAAGTTGGGCTAAGAGACAGAGTGGCAAGGTGATCACCTGACCGTGTGTCCTTTGAAAGGTAAAAAAATTGGAAATTTAAAGACTAAATATGGATACTAAAGAATAACTTTTTGACCAAATATCATCACACTGCTGCTACAGGAACTTTAGATAGAATATTCCCTGAAAATTCCACACAGTGCAATTCCATGAATGAAATTCGTTTGGGTAAAGCCATGTCTGCTATAGTAATTGTTCAATCTAAGTTCATTAAATCGAACTTTGGAAATACATACATATATAAAAGTAGTGAAGGTTATTGGATTACTATTAGATAGAGTATATCCAGAAATTCTGCACCCTACTAGTACTAGGTCAGAAATTTTTCAATCCCATTGAATACATTATACTTGCCAACCCAAGGACCAAGCATTGAGAAATTGAAAGAATTCTAGGATACCCTGGAGACCTCTTACAGCCAAGCCTGAAGTTGTTGTTATTACCCAAAAAAAAAAAAAAAAAAAATCAAAAGGTGGTGTTCTGGGAAAATGTTAAACCTGTGGAGTTACAATTATTTTTTTTTTTAGCTTTAGTTAAGCTATCAAAATAAAGAGATATTGCACTATTTGTTTTCTTACCTACTTATTTGTCTTTGAGAGTAAGTTACAAAATGCAAACTTATAAAATTTGTATTCAATTGCACTTGAAAATTTTTTAGTGAAGCAAGTGTTCATACCCTCAAAAAAAAAAAAAAGCAAGTGTTCATGAACTTTCCCGTCCAAATGGTCTACATACCTGTGAACGTTTGAAATAAAAACATGTACCAGGGAAAGAAATTTGTGCACAAGTTCTGTTTCTAAGGTGAGTAGCGAGTACTACATAGGGATAATATTAGAAATCTACCTTGAGCTTTATCCTGGTATCATTTAGCATTTTTAAAATTTTTTATTTTCTTTTTCCTTCCGGGGATTATACATAAGAAAAAAAAAAGTACTAGTAATAGAATTCTAAACAAACCGAATAAGTAGAGATTAAAACAGAACATTGGAAATATTAACTACTTACAGTTACAGCCTTACAGGGGGTTTGTTTCCCAAATGCGAAACCAGTTACACGGGCATCCCATCGATATAAACAATGGGAATATGTGCAATCTTGGGCCACCCTGCGCCACTTCCTTTGGTGCATCTCTCTGCTAAAGGAGGACACCTGGTGATATATAGCTCATTTAAATTGGTGAGGTGTCGTATTGCTTCTGCAGAGGGCAATTGTCTGAGGTTAGAGCAATTAATAATCCCTAATAGGCGAAGATTCCGAAGGCTGCCCATCCACTCTGGAAGAACTTCCAACCCCTCAAACTCCCATATCTCTAGAGACGTCAAGGTAGAGATATGCTGAATTTGGTCTGGGAGAGCCGTGATTTTTGGCCATCCACGCAATTCAAGACGCTTCAGAGAGACGAGATTGGTGATGGAGTGTGGCCACGGGAAATAATCAAGGTCGTCAGAGAAGCCACCGAGAGTCAACGATCTGAGGTTGGCTAGATGGTGGAGAACCGTAATTGGCCAACAACCAGGGTCATCAGAAATGAACGTCAACCACTTGAGCGACGTGAACTTCTCAAGATCATTACTCAACGAAGGATTCAACTTATCACATCCTGAGATGCTTAGAGTACGTAGGGATTGGGGGTTTTTCATATCCAGAGAAGCATCTAATAAAGCAGGACAGTCACTTAAGTACAAGGATTCAAGAGATGTGAGGCTATTCAAATTCCTTATACAAGCCAAACTTCCACATACTTGTATCTCTAACTCCTCAAGAGATGTCAAGTTCTCCATATCTAGTAAAACAGCCAACTTGGGGAGACCTGAGATTCTCAAGTCCCGGAGATTAGGGAATACCTTAATTGATGAAGAAGAATCCGAGGGAACCATTGCATCTGACCACTCCTCTAGACTTCCCATGTCCTCCAAAACAAAACGCTGTAGTTTCGGAAACAGAGTGACTGCTTTCACCTCTCTGCTACTGGTGCTGCTACTACAAGAAGCGCTGCTCCTTGCATTAATATCGAGACCATAGAATTCAGCCCCAATTCGCTTCACATTGTGCAAGGAGACCACCTTTAAGGACTCGAGACAAGGCAAGTCCCCTAGTGGTGGTACTTGTTCACACTTAACCAATTTCTCCAACCTGAGGCGTACCAGATTCCGAAGGAGTACCATCAAGTGATCCTTTGCCACCATCCATGACGGAAACCTTGAACCTTTGAAACCATTAATGGCTAAACTTTTCAAGTCTGGGTGAGGTTGGAGACCTTCCATGACACTGTCGATATTGTTGTCATCACAATCTTCATTTGTATCGCCCCATGAAAGTCTTAAACCTCGAATGCTTGATTTTTCGGACAACTTTGCTTTTGCTGCTGATTCAAAGCCGCTCACATTCTCAAGTCCAAATATTCTCAACTCACCTCCGAGGTTGCGCAAGTGTTCCAACTCCTCAAGTTGACATCCCTTGTCTTGACTTACCCTGAAGTGCGGCAACGTCCGGAGATTAGCCAGCTGCCCGATTCCAGGGAACAGACATTCCTCACTATCCTTGAAAAACTCGAGATGCCTCAAGTTAATTAAATTGCTAAACTTCTTAGGTATCTCTTTCAAGTAACTTACTTTCAAGGTCATCAAATTGTAGAGCTTTGTGATCGAATCTGGCAGAGCGGTGATACCAGTTCGCCTGATATCAAGATGTCTTAAATGTTTCATGTTACCCACAGCATTCAGGAGATGAGTAACATCCCGGCAGTTTACTATTAACACACAAAGGTATCTAGACCTTTCCAAGATGTCTTCGAGCACACTACCATCACCCCCAAGATAATAAAGCGTTTGCAAATTTGGAGGAATCCCTTCGATATTCTTTAACACCTTCCCTTGACTCCAAATGATGGTCAAATGCATAACTTCATTTTCATGACGGACTTCCATGCCTCCCTCTGTATTTAAGAAACAATTATTTGACACTTGCAGTGAAAGATCATGCACAAGGTCGTGCATCCGGCAGTACTCGATTTCATTAAAGGAATTCTTATCACCAGCTTGCAACAAAGAACTCCGAAGCAATACGTTGAAATACTCACTGCCTATATCCTCCATTTGCAAATGACCTCCTCCTCCCTTGGCATCATTTATCAATCCCTGGGCCATCCAAATCTGTATCAAGCTTTGTTTTTCCATGAAAGTGTCCTTCGGGAAAATGGAACAACTTGCAAAGCATTGTTTCACTGACCATGAAGGTAAGTTCTCGTAACTCAGCTTCAGGACAGACATGACTCGTTTTGCAATATCGGTCGACTCGTTCCATATTTCACTCTTCTCGATCGTCAACCATTCCGAGGCATCCTTTTTGGAATACAACAAACCCCCGATCACTTTGATCGCTAATGGCACGCCGCCGCACTTTTTCAGTATCCTTCTGCCAATGTCCACCAGATCTTGAGTCTTTGTTGCACCACCGTCTGCAAATGCTAGTTTTTTAAACAACATCCAGCTATAATCATCTGAGAGGATGTCCAGATGATGCAAACCAGATGTTTGCATTGCTGAGGCTACTCCATCGCTACGTGTAGTAACCAATATTTTGCTTCCTGGAGCACCCCCTATTGCCAACAAACGTCTCCTCATGCCAGCCCATGTCTCTCGATCCTCATTCCAAATATCATCAAGGACAAGCAAGTAACTTTTTCCTTTCAGATTTTCTTGAAGCTTCCTCACCAATGCTTCCGTGTTTGTCCTCTCAGCACTTTTTCCCTCAAGGGATTGTAGCATCTCATTCAACAGCCTTTCCACTTTGAAATCATCAGACACACAAACCCATATTGTTTTATCAAAGTGCTTCACTACACTGTCAATTTTTAGCACCATCTGTGCAAGGGTTGTTTTACCCTGCCCACCCATCCCAACTATTGAGATGACGGGTAAATCCTTGTTATAGTCTGAGCTAATTAACATGCTCACAACTTGAGATACCTCAGCCTCCCTTCCCACCGTTTCTGACTCGTCCACAAAAGGATCAGTCAACCGATCCACTCTGTGATCAGCAGATGCCATGGGTAGTTGAGCTGGATGAAGCCCTATCTTATTTGCTTCTTTGTAAGCTTCCTCTAGAGATGCGCTAACATTCTTGATCTTGTTAGCCATCTCTAGACGAAAGGAAATAGGATTTGAGGAAGAAAAGAAGTTGCGCACCTTGTCGCGCTTCCGATTCTCAACCTTCTGCCGCAGAACTTCATATCCGAAGTCATCCAACACGATCTCAGCATGACGTGCTATAGACCGGAGCCTTTTCAGCCAGAGCTGCGCGGTTTTGGTTGTTGATTGCTTGCATTTAGCATCAAAAATCAAAGCTTCCATCGTCCGTACATTGTCGGCAAGCTTCTGAAGGTCTTTCTTTACACCCCACGCCCGGCTGATCTCGTCGGCAGCAAGTGGAAGTATCTTATCCAAGATCCACACTCCAATTGATTACATTTTAATGGTATTGGTAATTATAATTAAAAATTTCTCATTTAAAACTATTTACCTACCCTTGGACTCCATCTGCTATTATTATACGTACCAAAATTTCTTAATTGAAGCATGAAAATTTTCTCATTAGTCATTAGTTAAGATTGTTAAAAAAAAAAATCAATTTCGAAAAATAGATACTCTCTAAAAAATGGAGAAACATACACTGACAAGAAAACCCTTATTCATCTATATATCTTCACACAAATATCACGAGTAAATTTTACAATTATGCACTTTTACCAATATGAAGAATTTTTCATGTTGCACCCAATGAAATTTCAATATACAAAAAATGATGACACCTTTATAACTGAAATAGTAGTATTAAACTAGAAAAAAGAAATCTAAAATAGCACCATACAAACCACTATTATCATTAATAGCAACCGATCAAAACAAGAAAAACTAAAATAAAATTGAAAACTATTTATAAAATGGCATAAAGTAAATAGCAAATGAATTAAAAAGTGAGAATACAATTCAAATAATACCAAAGACAACATCCAAATCACTGATATCTAGGAGAAGACAAACATTTTTGTTATTGACAATAATATAGTAATGCTTCATTTGTATTGGTTTGAGCAAACCAAATCCATCTATCAAGTCAAAAACCATCTCCAATGATAAAATAAGAATTATAATAAGAGTAAATGTAAAATGTAGAATGATAAAATGAAAATGATATCCAAAATACCCTTATTGTTCTAATGATTACATATATTTATTGTATTGCAATATTAGTGAATAATGGAGGCGGTTATGAAATGAAAAACTTTAAAATTAAGTAAATTTCATTTATGGTGACAATTGTAATTAGACAGATTTAATACATTCCAATAATTGATAATAATGATAGCGGTTATGGATTAAAAGTTGGCAATTAAAAACTAAAACACTGCAATATATTAAAAAAACTAATATTAAAATTATTAATTAGCCACAATTCTCATTCCAATTTCATGATCATTAAAAAAAACTAATATTAAAACCAAAAATATTGTGCTCATATGAAAAAGTAGACTTGTGCTCTTGTTTCGCATTGGATTGTGCTAAAAACATGAATAAAAGAAAAGGAAAATAGAAAAACTTCAACTATCTCTATCTATAAAATTTCAATTGTTAGAATGCACTAGCCAAAAAAACTTTATTTGGTGGATCATTTATACTCCATTATTGATAAAAATAGAATTAACATAATACAAAGAATTCAAATTACAGTTATGTTTATTTTTCTAACTTAATTATATTCTTCGTTTATAAAAAATTGTGATGATTGTGGTTTATATGCAATAGAGTCATGAATATACAATAATTTTGGTGAAACATGATATTATCAATGTTTGATATGTTAGAGTTCAAGCTATAAATCAAAAAGTATTTGGTTCATGATTTCAAATTCAATCCTAAGGGATATGTCAACTACATTGGAATGTTTTCTGTCTCTTTTCATTTCATAAAATTTTTAAAAGTAATTAGCTTAAAAAAATAATATAAAAATACTATATTATGATATTAAATTATTAATGACCAAAATTTCATAAAAAAATTTTTAGCATATAAAATATAATATATTTTAAAATATTACAATCACGTGAACTATTACTAGTTATTATTAAGTGTGCCCAGACCTGGCTCCAGTTGTCAGACAAGATAATGCAATCTATGCAAATGCCTAACCATACGTCCAAATTGTGGTCTCCACCAGCACCAGCTCATAAAGAAACTACTGACTGAATATTGCAAATATGATATACACAATACACGATGCATAATTCAAGGACTTCATTCATTTAATCCAAGAGAAGTTTATATAATGATCGAATTTGTTGTATTGAGATATGTGGCTTTTCTACAGATATTTTAGCACTAAAATAAAATAAATTAGTAATTGAATAGGTTGGAAAACTTAAAAAGGACTGCTCCAAGCAAGACGAATGATGACATCCAACGACCAATTCAGGGCCACACGGCTTGTGGGTACCATTGAAATAATTGAATCTATGGATGTTAATTGAGAGTTGAAACAGTACAAGTTGGTTTTACCCCAAAAAAAAAAAAAAAGAAAAAAAACTGTACAAGTTGGTTGATGTATTTGGGTACAAAAGTATTCTTAGGTGTGCCCAGACCAGGGCTCCAGCTTTCAGACAAGATAATGCCTAACTATACATCCAAATCGTGGTCTCCACCAGCACATGTTCATAAAGAAAGTACTGACTCACGGCACCACCCATGAACGTGGAGGGCCTGGGAATCAACTTATTCCCATCTGCTGAATTGAATGGAAATAAATCAATTCCCATGGAAGCATTTGGTTGTATAATTTCCATCCACAACACAACTGGAGGAGCTCCACAAATATAGAATTAGGTCTTTTCCCAAGTATCAAAACATATTATTATTATTTCATAAATCACAAGAGTCTAATGCTCCAAATAACATTCTACATTAGCAATCTTACCGGCATTGAGACCGGAGTTTGCAATTTAACACTTACGGTGCTAAATAAACTGAACACAAGAAACTTCAGTTTCCTTAATTTTTATGGAAGAAGATATCACTGAATTTCGCACTAGAAGCTATCACCGAATTATGCCAGGACATGGCATGCTGCCACAGTTAATTTGGCCTGAAAAGTGTTACAATTAGCATTAGCATTTTGACACATGAGGAGGTTATATATACTTACGTAAAGTATATTTTGCCCTTTTCTTCTTCAGTTTCCACCAGAGAAAAAAGGCTGACATCACCAGTTAACCATTTCTACTTAACAAGACATTAACCGCTTTGTGGTTTTAACAGGGAGCGAACAGCGTTGTTACGTTCCATTGTGTACTTGTGTTCATCAGCATGATCAGTTCTTTACGTAGTTTAGAAGTTGTTTGCAACTTTGCATTGCCGAGCAGTTCGAAAGTCAGAAGAAGGTAAAATGAAGGTGGCTAATGTTTAAAATTGTCCACTGGTGTGGTCCGTATTTTTCGTATACATGCATGGATAAAATCAAGTGTTGTGGAAGCGGATCAATTTGAGTTAATTTCAGAATCTGCAAAATTTAGAAATAGTAGAGAGTCTAGAGACCAAAACAGTTCCCTTCCCTGTGGATTCATTCCTGTGTACGTGGGGAAAGAGAACCAGAAACATGTGATACCTCTTTCCTACCTTTCTTCTCTACTACGTCAGTGCCAAGAAGAGAACAAGTTATCTTTGCAGCCCATAAATTTGTCCTGCTCGGTTCAGATGTTTGAAGCTGTTCTAGATGTTGTCACGGCTGAGAAAAGCGGCCATGATTAATTTCTTGAAAATTTTTGAAGAAAAAGAAGAGGAGAAAGAAGTTGCACTTGAACATTTGGACAAGATCGTCATGAATTCGGCAACTTTTGCCTTGTTAAAACTACCTAATTAACTCCACAGTTAAGAAAGGGAGACAGTTCCTGCCATGGTTTTTTACCCCTCAAAAATCAAAATCAATATAGGGGTTTTCCACGTAGAAGTTGTGTTCTTGGTTGTTCAAATTTCTTTTACTAGCTTAATTTACTTTGGTTATTGTGTGTTTTAACATAATTTTTCTTCTTTTAAGTTTCTTAATTTCTTTTCACACATTAACCAATAACTGAGTAATCCAATTTACTAGCTAGCAAATTTTTTGGGGTATCTTTAAAGTTTCTTCTTGTCCCACAATTCATGAATGGTATTAAAATTTCGTCTTGGAAGAGTACAGATTAAACTCCTCTTCCATTGGAGAGAATCTCTCTCCATTATTGATTACACTTCAATAAAATTAATTTTAAAAATTATTTTTGAAAATCAACTTTCATCATAATATGTTTCATTACTTATGTTAGTTACACAAAAAACTTCACATGAAATTGACCAAGTTTTGCCATTTAATTAATCACTATAAATTTTATCCTAATGTTATCCATTTTTCACCGCTCAAATGTTCCATGTAAATCAAACATTCAAAATATTGATCTAGAGATCAAAAGAAAAATAATGACACAATTACATAATTTTATAGCATTATATAAATTTATATATGAATAAATGGGGAGACCAATGGAGAGAAATCTGACAAACAGGATCCTAACCCGGGAGGGCACTAACAGTAGTCATGGATCCAATTTTTGGGTCACATGACTTACTTGCAAGTTTGAAGGAATATCTGACAACAGCTTTTTCTTCTCATAGTAGTAGTTTTTGCCCTTTTCAGCACACTTTGCACAACCACCTTTGACATAATTGCAATAGTTTTCATTCTCAGATGAACAAAATTTGGTATCATCATCAAAACACACTATAACTAGAGGCCCTAATTATTGTACAATATAGGGCTTTTCAACACTGCCCCCAGACATCCATACAAAATAATGGGCGTAGCCCAGCAATAACAAGATACAGCTAAATGATTTTAACTATCAACAATTAATGTTAAATAATACCTATCAAACAATTGGGTTAAGTGGATCTACACATTGCAAAAGTCATACTAGAATGTCGATAATTAACCAATTCCAAGAATCAGGATTACCAGACAACCAAATGGTTGTTGAACTACTCATTAGCAACCTTCTTCCAGGCGCCCCCTTGATGAAAGAATTGAGAGTAGTGTTAGCACGCGAATCGAGTTCATGGTTGGTTCCTGATCATTTATCCCAAGTCAATTTCCAAAAAAATGTTGTCTGTTTTGCAGCTTCAGAGTAACTGATTCACCATTTCTTGTTTGATAATCTCAGTCAGCTGCCATCTGATCTGTTTGGAGATTCCCTCCGTATCATTTCTATGAGATCCTGCACAACTTCAGACATTGGAGGCCTAAACTCTGGCTCCAGCTGCATGAAAAACTCACTATGTCAGAACTTATTCATTGAAGCCAAGGAAGAAATGATAAGAGGACATCACCAATGGGAGTTTCCAATAACACAGTACTCAAGAGACTTCCTGGAAACAAAGTTATATTCTCTTTTATGTATGTTTTCTATACAAGAAAGTAGAGGTTTGATTCCTTAGTAGGATAAAGACATAATTTTGATATGTACCTATTCAGTATTCACCACTACCTTTTTTAAGTTTTTTAGTCATATGGAGGAAAATACTTCTTTTTCCTTTCAACTCTTCCTTGTTTTATTCCTCTTTGGGTGTAAGTGGGAGGTCTCGAACCTGGAATCTCTCACTTACTCTCCCCCCATACCACCCAACCCATCCCTCCCCCCAATTTTTCCTTTTCCTTCATTTTCCAATGAAACAACAATGATTTTGCATACAACTTTCTAAGAAATGAACTCGGGTGCCCAATGTGCTTTAGTCGCATTCAGCCGTACGTTAACTTGGCCTTGTAGTCGTGAGTACTAAGAACTAGCAAAACCATTCGCCACACCTGCCTACAATTACATGGGAAAATTTCTTTCACCGTACAATGTTATATGCAAGTGCAAAGCAAATTCTTGCATTCAGGGAGTTCCGAGGTTTCTTCATGTGCCAGCATACTGTTATACAAACGCAGCATTGCATCTTTAATTTTGAAGAACTGATATCTATGTATATTTAGGTTAAACTAGGGCTAAGGGGGGACCAGAGTTATAGGCAGAAAGATAATTGGATATCTAGACTTCTACTACAACAAGAGCATGCATCTCCATGTTCCAATCTAAAACATTAATAATTCTCTCAGGTGGAGTGTTAGAGTAATGTAACCTTAGGTAATTCATAAACCAACTGAGTTAAGAAACAATTAGTTCGTTATACTAAGTGCACAGAAACTTGGGCATATAAGCTGCTTGTAATTATGCGTTCCCTAACAATCTGGTAAGTCTAGCACTAAAGTTTGAGTACTAAAAGTAAAGGGGATGTTTTTTAAGTCCAATTTGATCAAAGGTAACTTTTATCTGTCATGTGATATTTGGACCTGTAAAAGGATGGACCCAACGACTTTAAACACTCAGATTCTCAAGACTTGCTCTTAAGTGTTACTTTTTATTACTAAATGTGACGCCCCGAAAAAAAAAAATAGGGTTTTCATTTTGTATACTTTGTTGGACGAGCGAAGGAACGCAGCTTTTAAACTTGGAAATGAAGAAAAAATTGGAAATGTGAAAGGGGCCAAATCCGGCCGGAAATCCGGCCAGTTTCTGGCCGGATAGCTGGCCGGTTTGAAAAAAATTGGATCAGCCTTTGCCTCGAATCCGGCCGGAAATCCGGCCGGATTGTGACGTCATCCCCGACAGTCAACTTTGACTGGCTGCCTTTTTCTTCCTTCTTATCTCATTTTGGCCAAAATATCTCACTTTCTTCCTTGGTTCATCCGTGAGCTTTGAGAGAAAAACAAGAAAAACTCTTCATTCTTCCATCTTCAATTTCTACTCAAATCTTGGGTTTTAACCGATGGTTTTGGAAAATATTTCATACAAGGGCTCATTATGGTGGTTTAAAGCTTTTGATGGATTGGTTTTGGAAGGGGAGTGCTAAGTTGATAGCTTTCTTGAACTTGAGGTGAGTTGGATAAACAAGTTCCCTTTTGTTCTATATTTGGTTAATTAATGGTTTGTGGTGGTCATGTATGTTATTTTGTGGAGTATTTCATGGGTTGAAGGAAGTTATGGTGAATTTCTGATTTATTGGGCATTTTTCCGATTTTATATGATAAGCATGAATTGGTCTTGAATTGATGGATTGTTATGGTGTTAAATGGACCCTTTATACGTTAATTGTGGTTGTTTGCGGAAAATTTCCGCTTATGGTATGAATTCCGGTTTTAGGGTTTCAATTTGGGAATTTTTCCAAGATTGGCTTATAAGCTTCTAATTGGTTTTAATTGAGGGATTTTGTGGCCCTAATTGGATATGTTTATTGATTACGAACTATATGTGCAATTGTGGTTGATGGTTATGAATTTGGTGAATATTTGTAGGTTGGAAAATAAAGAAAGTGAGGGGGAAATGCTGTCCGAACTTTGATAGTATTTGGTTGCTTTGAACTGGAATTGAAGGACTTGAGTTCGATCCATGAAATTGTCTATAGTGGAAGAGGACTATGAGCCGTGAAGTGAGTAATCTCCAAACTGTTCCAAAGTTACTTTTGAACGTTTTCTTGCATTATTTATTCAATTGCATATCATGCGTGCTTGCATGTGAGTTCATGACATGATTTGGCTTGAAATGAGTACTTGGGAAGTCCTGTGCTGAACACCAACGTCTCTACCACTGTTCATGTTTATTTGGAGCTCAAAAAGGGGCTCCCTCTCTCTGTTTACTGTTAACGTTAAAGGATCTGTTTGAGCGTTGGGTGTTTAGGTGCAATGATTTCACTGGCTCACGAGAGCAATAAACGTACATTGGATTTCTGATTCATAACATCATTGAAATGAACGATTATGAAACTGATTTGATTACTGATTTTATTGGTTACTCGCTGAGATTTTAGCTCACCCCAAAACTATTTTATTCCCCTCCACAGGGCTCGAGGCGAAGAAAGAGCTTGTAGTGCTTATTCATGTGAATGGACGGATTATCTCATGTATGGTTTGAATTTGAATTTTTCTTTTGTGACTTATATTGTAATTTATTTGAGGACTGTAGTGAATGACTGAGTCCCGACGAGACTTGGGCAGGCGGCCCACCGAACCCTCTGGTTCGCCTTAGGGGGAGGTGGGGCTGTCACACTAAACCCCCCTCATCTTCGCTCTTCCAACCATTAAGGGAGCCAGGGATTGAACCATGGGAAGTTGGGAACCAATCTAAGGCCATTCATCCTAATCATAACAAATCCTTGAACTTGATCACAAATCTGTAAACAAGCCAATATTTTACTCAAATTTATGGTGGGTTTGGTAAGTCAGTGAGGTAGATATATATATAAGAAGTGCGGTAGATATATTAGATGGATGAGTTGCCTTGATTCTGACCCTTTAAAAAAAAGAATGATAAAGAGGAGGACGAAAGAATCTACGGAAAAGAAAATGTAAAGAAGGATATGGCAATTTAAAAGGAAGCAGTAGCGTTTTTTATTTCCTTTTTCCTTCCGGGGATTATATATGAGAAAAAAAAAAAGTACTAATAGAATTCTAAACAAACCGAATAAGTAGAGATTAAATAAGAACATTGGAAATATTAACTACTTACAGTTACAGTGGGGTTTGTTTCCCTAGTCGATAACAAGGGGAATATGTGCAATCTTGGGCCACTCTGCGCCACTTCCTTTGGTGCATCTCTCTGCTAAAAGAGGACAGGTGTCGATATACAGTTTATTTAAATTGGTGAGGTGTCGTGTTGCTTCTGCAGAGGGCAATTGTCTGAGGTTAGAGCAATCAACAATCCACAATTCTCGAAGATTCCGAAGGCTACCCATCCACTCTGGAAGTACTTCCAACCCCTCAAACTCCCCTATCTCTAACGTCCTCAAGGTAGAGAGATGCTGAATTTGGTATGGGAGAGACGTGATTTTTGGCCATCCACGCAATTCAAGACGCTCCAGAGAGACGAGATTGGTGATGGAGTGTGGCCACGGGAAATGATCAAGGTCGTCAGAGAAGCCACCGAGAGTCAACGATCTGAGGTTGGCCAGATGGTGGAGAACCATAATTGGCCAACAACCAGGGTCATGAGAGAAGATTTCCAACCGCTCGAGCGACGTCAACTTCTCAAGATTATTACTCAATGAAGGATTCAACTTATCACATCCTAAGATGCTTAGAGTACGTAGGGATTCCAGAGAAGCATCTAATAAAGCAGAGCAGTCATTTAAATATAAGGATTCCAGAGATGTGAGGCTATTCAAATTCCTTATACAAGCCAAACTTCCGCATCTCCATATCTCTAACATCGCAAGAGATGTCAAGTTCTCCATATCTGGTAAAACAGCCAACTTGGGGAGCCGTTCGATTCTCAAGTACCGGAGATTAGGGAATACCTTAATTGATGAAGAAGAATCCGAGGGAACCATTGCATCTGACCACTCCTCTAGACTTTTCATGTCGCACAGCACAAAACTCGACAGTTTCGGAAACAGAGTTATTGGTTCCACCTTTCTGCTACTGCTACTGCTACAAGCGCTGCTCCTTGCATTAATATCGAGATGTGCAAGGAGACCATAGAATTCAGCTCCAATGCGCTTCACATTATGTAAGGACTCCATCTCTAAGGACTCGAGACAAGGCAAGTCCCCTAGTGGTGGTACTTGTTCACACTTACCCAATCCACTCAACTTGATCTCTACCAGATTCCGAAGGAGTACCGTCAAGTGATCCTTTGCCACCATCCACGACGGATACCTTGAACCTTGGAAACCCCAAATGGCTAAACTTTTCAAGTCTGGGTGAGGTTGGAGACCTTCCATGACACTGTTGATATTGTTGTCGTCGCAATCTTCTTTCGTGCCATTCCATGAAAGTCTTAAACCTTGAATGCTTGATTTTTCGGACAACTTTGCTTTTCCTGCGGATTCAAAGCTGCTCACATTTTCAAGTCCAGAAATTTTTAGCTCGCCTCGGAGGTTACGCAAGTGTTCCAACTCCTCAAGTTGACATCCCTTGTCTTGGCTTACCCTGAAGTGCGGCAACGTCCGAAGATTAGCCAGCTGCCCAATTCCAGGGAAGAAACATGATTGGCCCATAGCAGATGAAAACTCGAAATGTCTCAAGTTAATTAAATTGCCAAATTTCTTAGGCATCTCTTCCAAGTAACATACTTTCAAGGTCATCAAATCGTAGAGCTTTGTGATGGAATTTGGCAGAGCAGTGATACCAGTTCGCCTGATATCAAGATGTCTTAAATGTTTCATATCACCCACTGAATTTGGGAGATGAGTAACACCCAGGGAGTCTACTATTAATACAGAAAGGTATCTAGACCTTTCCAAGATGTCTTCGAGCATAATACCATCACCCCCAAGATAATAAAGCGTTTGCAAATTTGGAGGAATCCCTTCGATATTCTTTAACACCTTCCCTTGACTCCCAAGGATGGTCAAATGCATAACTTCATCATCATGACTGACTTCCATGCCATCCCTTGTATTGAAGAAACGATTATTTGACACTTGCAGTGAAAGATCATGCACAAGGTCATGCATCCGGTAGTACTCGATTCCGTACTTAGGAGTAGCTTGCAACAAAGAACTCCGAAGCAATATGTTGAAGTAATCGCTGCCTATATCCTCCATTTGCAAATGACCTCCTCCTCCCTTGGCATCATTAATCAATCCCTGGGCCATCCAAATCTGTATCAAGCTTTCTTTTTCCATATCAGCGTCCTTCAGGAAGATGGAACAACTTGCAAAGCATTGTTTCACTGACCATGAAGGTAAGTTCTCGTAACTCAGCTTCAGGACAGACATGACTCGTTTTGCAATATCGGTCGACTCGTTCCATACTTCACTCTTCTCAAGCTTCGACCATTCCGAGGCATCCTTTTTGGAATACAACAAACCCCCGATCACTTTGATCGCTAATGGCACGCCGCCGCACTTTTTCAGTATCCTTTTGCCAACGTCCACCAAATCTTGAGTCTTTGTTGCACCACCGTCTGCAAATGCTAGTTTTTCAAACAGCATCCAGCTATATTCATCTGAGAGGATGTCTAGATGATGTACACCAGATGTTTGCATTGCTGAGGCTACATCATCGCTACGTGTGGTAGCCAATATTTTGCTTCATGGAGCACCTCCTCCTATTTCGAGCAAACAGCTCCTCATGCCATCCCATTTCAGTGGATCGTCATTCCAAACATCATCAAGCACGAGCAAGTAACTTTTTCCATTCAGATTTTCTTGAAGCTTCGTCACCAATGCTTCCTTGTTCGTCGTCTCAACATTCTTTTCCCTGAGGGATTGTATCATCTCATTCAACAGCCTTTCCACTTTGAAATAATCAGACACGCAAACCCATATTTTTTTATCAAAATGCTTTGTTACATTCTCATTTTTTAGCACCAGCTGTGCAAGGGTTGTTTTACCCTGGCCACCCATCCCAACTATTGAGATGACAGGCAATTTCTTCTTATAGTCTGAGCTAATTAGCATGCTTACAACTCGAGATACCTCAACTTCCCTTCCCACCATTTCTGACTCGTCCACAAAAGGAACAGTCAAACGATCCTCTTTGTGATCAGCAGATGCCATGGTTAGCTGAACTGGATGAAGCCCTATTTGATTTGCTTCTCTGTAAGCTTCCTCTAGAGATGCGCTAACATTCTTGATCTTGTTAGCCATCTCTAGACGAAAGGAAATTGGATTTGAGGAAGAAAAGAAGTTGCGTACCTTGTCGCGCTTCCGATTCTCAACCTTGTGCCGCAGAACTTCATATCCGAAGTCATCCAACACGATCTCAGCATCACGTGCTATGGACTGGAGCCTTTTGAGCCAGAGTTGCACCGCTTTGCTTGTTGATTGTTTGCATTTAGCATCAGAAATCAAAGCTTCCATCATCTCTACTTTCTTGGAGAGCTTCTGAAGGTCTTTCTTTACACCCCATGCCCGGCTGATCTCGTCGGCAGTAAGTGGAAGTATCTTATTCAAGATTACACTAACACAACTGAGTGCAGCTTCAGCCATCTTCAAGGGAAACTCTTAACAGATGAAGGTAAAGTGCTTTGGTTGAATAGTTGGACTACTTTTTGCAGACAGAGATGAGCAAAATTCAACAGCTATGAGTTGCAAAGAAAGCACTGAAGCCATTACTTATCTTTCATTTTTTTTCCCAAAACGAAATTTCCTAGTCTCCACCGAAGAATTATTATATTCTAGCAGTACATTTTTTTTGGCTTTTTCCCTTGGCTTTTGGTCGGGTCTTCACATGTTAAAGCAAAAATACTACTTATGATAACAATAATTAGAATAGTATAAAAGTCTCGGATGCAAATGTGTTAAACTTAAAGAAGGGATGAGTGAAAGATTCCCCGAGAAAGGGTGTGAAAACTTTGCCGAACATTGAAATTTCAACCTCTAGATGCTCATAATGGTCAATAATTATTATTAAGTGTGCCCAGACCTGGGCTCCCGTTGTCAGACAAGATAATGCAATCTATGCAAATGCCTAATCATACGTCCAAATTCAAGGTTTGCCCACCAGCACGAGCTCATAAAGAAACTACTGACTGAACATTGCAAATATGATATACACAATACACGATGCATAATTCAACTAATCACATTACAGGGACTTCATTCATTTAATCCAAGAGAAGTTTATATATTGAGATATGTGACATTTCTACATTTATTTTAGCACTAAAATAAAATAAATTAGTAATTGAATAAGCCTAGTTCTTAGAGTTGTACCACATTTTTTGCTTTTGACTAGTTCAAATTTGTCTGAGTTCTAAATGTTATGTTGAGATTTGTTAGGGGAGATTTGAATAGTGTTGTTTTGAGGTTTGTCGCGAAAAATCTGTGTAGACTTATTACTTACACTTTCAATTAATAATAGAGAGTTATTTAATGAGAAATCTAAAATCATTTTTCAACTCTCTCAATATAAGTCTCGGTAAACTATTTTTTGTCAGCTTTCAGTAGAAGTAAGCTCTAAATTCTAACATATTGGCTGGTAGTACAAAATAGAGATGTTCCAATTTCTCTTCAGCACATGCAAATATTTATCACATACAAGAAGCTAGTGTTGAAAATAGGACCAGGAGTTTGCTTCAATCCAATTGAAAGCAATCGGGCTTAACGAACCATCAGGAACGCCAAGAGAGCTGACCAAGAAAAGTGCATATACAAAGGGTATTTTCTCTAATTTAAAGACATAACAACACTCTCTGCTCCTCATGTTTTTCATATACAAAGGGTCACCCTGGAAATTTATCAGCAATTGGTATCATTAGTTGCTTCTAACTTCTGGTCCTGCAAGATCTATACCAAAGAATCAGATAATAGAGAAGTCTGTAGCCCACGATGAAAGCCAACATCACAACCAAGTAACTCTATTTCTGTGACTGTTTTATGCCTAGATTTCTCAAGAATGCATCACCATGCATCAAACATCCTGCTTCAACACCGTCTGCACATTTCCCTCGGCCTCTGTATCCTCCAAAACTCATTTAGTAGAAGACATTCAAGAGGATACTTCATCAAGCTCAAATAGTGCATGAAGAGCCTATACTTGGGTATTTCTTTGTTAGATATGAATTACCCCGAGAAAACAAGAATGCACCCATGATGCCTGCCATCAAAGACATTCCTGATATGAAATTCGGTACCAGAGCACTGAAGCAGCTGCAAAAGAATTTGCCATTGAGAGAACCATCCAAGCCACCAGACAGAAATAAAGGAATCCATAGATTTTGCGTCTGAGTCCAACTAGCCAGTGAAGTGGAGTAGTAAAGAGGAGATAGTTGCAAAAGGAAGGCAACAAACACTAGGTTGTTTGCTATAACATATGAAGATATTCTGTAAGATCCTCTTGAGGTCTCTCTCATCAAAATTATCCTCTCTTGCAAGAATATTGGGAGAGCTCCTGTAGTAAATGACAACAAGAAGGTCAGGATAAACCCCATGAATCCAATCTGAGTTTGAACACCTTCAGGCAGAAATATTTTGCTATGTACTTGGATTTGATTAGTTGCCAACCATCTGAGTTGACATTATTCAACTTGATTCACCAACTGGCAAATCAACACTGTATAAACAGGCACAGAGGCTTAAGATGCATTCCAATTTCCACGTGCATGGGCATAGCATGCAACTAATTCATTTGGATGATATAATACATAAGGTCATCAGTTTGACAAGATTAACTTCAAAACACCTACTTCCAACTAAATACGCAGAAGACAACAGAAATGATATGTTTCTTGTTTATTCAGAAGCTCAGAATGCCAGTGCATTATTGAATAAAAAAATTATTTTTTTTGGGTCAATCACTAATCTGATCTATATTAAGGGATATTTTCAAGTGATATTGGCAAATGATATCGTCAAAGCACACATTTTAGTTCTACAGCAAACCTCGTGTGCAATGACAACTATAGCTTTTGCCACTCAACAATTGATCATTTTTAAAAGGATAAAAGTGTTATTTCATGAATATTTTGCAGTGGCATTATAACAAGTCTAAGTGTATTAGGCTGGTAATTGTGAGACTCCTAATTGACTCTCAAAACATGCTCTCAAAACATGATCATTTCTCTGCTCCTCATGTTTTTCATATACAAAGGGTCACCCTGGAAATTTATCAGCAATGGGTATCATTAGTTGCTTCTAACTTCTGGTCCTGCAAGATCTATACCAAAGAGTCAGATAACAGCGAAGTCTGTAGCCCACGATGAAAGCCAACATCACAACTAAGTTACTTTATTTTTGTGACTCTTCTATGCCTAGATTTCTCAAGAATGCATCACCATGCATCAAACATCCTGCTTCAACACCTTCTACACATTTCCCTCTGCCTCTGTATTCTCCAAACTCATTTAGTAGAAGACATTCAAGAGGATACTTCATCAAGCTCAAGTAGTGCATGAAGAGCCAATACTTGGGTATTTCTTTGTTAGATATGAAGTACCCCGAGAAAAAAGAAGAACGCACCCATGATGCCTGCAATCAAAGACATTCCTGATATGAATGCAGCTGCAAAAGAATTTTCCTTTGAGAGAACCATCCAAGCCACCAGACAGAAATAAAGGAATCCATCGATTTTGCGTCTCAGTCCAACTAGCCAGTGAAGTGGAGTAGTAAAGGAATGCAACAAAATTATAAGAGATCTTTACAATCCACTAATACAATCCAACTCAGCTCAGTGAATGCGATCTTTACACGGAAAACCTTAGTTGAGAGAAATGTCATGTACCTAGGGGTAGTCAGCTACAGCCAATACAGCAACGGGACAACCAAGAAAAAGAAAGAAGAAAAGGGAGAGAAAGGAGAACCTTTACAGTGACTGCCACAAAGTGAAGAATACAGAGGTACCAGTGACCTCATAGGAATTTTATTGTACAAGGCCAAAAAGCTCACTAAATACATTCAAGTGCTTAGCAATTCACACTGAACAAATCATCTACATCAAGCCTGCAAAATCACCCAAAAACTAAACCTTGCTAGCTAGGTACAGCGAGAAATTTCCAATTTTGTGATGAATTTTAAAAAAATTCTACAAAAGGGGTGATTTTGGTTAGATATTCCGCAGGGGGTGTTCGCATTCGCGAAATGCGAGCTCTCTAGAGCTCGCATTTGCGAAATGCGAGCTTCCCATTCCTTGAACCATTGCACACCTCCCTTTCCTTTATTTTGGACACCTCCCTTATTACTGCAATAAATAGAAAGACCAGACATGTAAGCATCGACAAGACTTACGTTTAAATTGAAATTTAGTATATTTGGAAACCTTATTTAAGAATAATGGTGTCGTATTTTAGTGACATACTATAGAGAGATAATATGTTGGAAAAGTAAAATTTTGGTTGGACAACAGTGTTTAAGAAATAATATAAAAATTTTCTAAAAAATGGGCAACCCATTCACATAAATTTGTAGGAGTTCAGCTACAGTAATCTACGTACTAATAACTGAGAAAGAAATGAAAAATCGAGAATATTCCAAAAAAATCCAGGTTTGAGTAGTCAATACCTGAAGTTGGAAATTGAAAAAAAAAAAAATGAAGACCATGAGAATTCAAAGAATCCAAGCTTAAGAAATGGCGGAGCATTAACCACTGTATAGGACCAAACATTATTTGCAACCCAAATTAGTGGTAAAAGAACTAATATCATTCACTCTGATTCACTATATTCACTATATTCCTCTGTGAACTCGCATTCCGTGAATGCGAAGACCCCCCATTTGTAGAACAACCTCCAAAAATCGCCCCAGTTGTAGAATCCTTTTTTTTTTTCATCATAAACTAAGAATTCACCCTAGGTACAGCAGGGGGCGAACTCTTACAATGCCAATTGAACCATAGGCACTTATCCTTCACTGCTTCAGCTTCACTGACGTACTCTTTGAATCCATTGGGAGATATTCCCCTCTTTGCTATCACATATGAAGATATTCTGTAGGATCCGCTTGAGGTCTCTCTCATCAAAATTATACTCTCTTGCAAGAATATTGGGAGAGCACCTGTAGTAAATGACAACAAGAAGGTCAGGATAAACGCGGAATTGGAGTAAGAGAGGTGCTTTTCTTGAATATTGGTCAAAATGGAAGTTCTGATAACATGCAGAGCTGAAGTCTCAAGCACTGAATCTGAGGTTGCTAACGTTGTATTGGTTACAGGCATCATTATTGTATCATCTCTTGTTGCATCTCCATGATCATGTTCACATTCAAGCATTTTTCTGGCTTTTATATTGGTTGGATTGGCCTCAACTCCCATAGTAATGCTCTAAGAAGGCACAAATACTGCAAGAAATACATATTATCGTCAGCAGAAGTTAGTATTGCTAGCAAGCAACTAATGTGCCTAGGAAGAGGTAGTAGAAATTATATGTTACTTCCCACTTCAGATTGAATATAATGTGTTGCTTTGAATGTAATTTATGCATCAAGAAAAATGGATTTTCAAAAGTATATAACGTTCTGGATTTGAATGAGTTTGTGTGTGCAGCAAAATGGAAATA